TTTCCTGACTAAGAAACTCCTAAGAGATTGGTATAGTTTGCAATCTCAGGTAGATCTTTTAGAGGCAGACCGCCAATTAGCGTACGGAGAGCTTGTGATGATAGCCATACCTCCGATAGGAGAAACGGAACTACAAGAAAAAAGTAACCGTGGAATTGATCGAGAGTAGTGCAATCAATGTAAAGAACCGCCATCTTGTGGCGCTAGTTCCGTGACGCTCGCCTCAGCATTTTACTGTAGAAAAAAAAGTAAATACCATGCAAGTAAAGAAGCTTTGATTTGTTGAAGTGGAAGTTTAGACAAATTTATCAAATTTAAGAAATTTATAAACTTCCTCCTCCCCATAGTTACAGATCACCAAATCCACTTAACGTAACCAACTCAATGGCTTTTTATCTGCTGGTTATAGGTAGGAATTTGTTTTATCTGCTAATTGTAGGTAGTAATTTTTTTATCTGCTAAATTTGTCTATAATTCTTCTTACATTAGATAAAATTCTATTATGTTGGTTTTAATGGTGTTTAATTTTTGATATTTTTAATTGATACAATTATTTTCTTTATCGTGAATTGCTGTGCATTCTTGTGTGTAAATTAAAGTCATCATTTTTCTTGTACAGATCTTCAATTTCAGCATATTTTTCTTGTAGTCATATCAGATCCCCTTTGGGTCTTCCATTAATAATGGATCTTTCATTATCTGTAGAAGTTCGTCATTCTTATATTCTTACTATTGTACTTAGTTTTAGTTTATCTCTGTAATAGCAAAGGATTCTTATTTGATATTTCTCTCATGTTCTTGATAAGTCCAAGATGCGTTTCTTTCTATTATACTTGTTGAAGTTTTTCCATGGCGGCTCTGTTATGTTGTTTCTTTATTCTCGTTATCGAACTTTAATTTTTGATAATGATAGTAGTGTTTTGAGTGTATATGTGTATATTCATTCCTGAATGTGTATTTATGGATTAAATAGAATTTTAAGACGATGGTTTATAAGCACACAATCTCTGATTTCTTACAATTCGATTCAGGTTATCAGCTGGAGACTTGTATGTATGGTTTGAAGAATAGAATTAAAATAATTTGGGAGTGGGAAGAGGAAGCGGTAGTTTTAGGTTGGATCGATCGTGCATAAGTAATGTCTTCAAGTTTGAACAGTTAAAAAAAATTATTGTCTGCATAATTTAATTACATACATATAATTTTTGTATATTTACAAAATCATCTTAAGTTTTTAAGTATAATCAGATGCCGATTATCAATTCGGTTTTTTGAAAATCTTTTAAAGAGTTGATTGTATTATTGATCCCTGTAATTATTAATTAATTCTCTCTTGTAGAGGATCTACTTTGTATTTCTTCTTCTTCCTCCTCTTTATAAGCAATTCTGCTTGTTCATTGGCATATTAATACCTCTATGGAAGTCTATCTTTTGCGCGATCGTGCGATACTTCTTCTGTTGATTGGTGACTTATCTCTTGCTATTTTGACGACACGGATTTCTCTCCATTCTGCTTATGTGGTTATGCCATTTTTTTTTCTATTTAGTGTCCATTCGTTTATGCACTGTACATTTCATTTTATTCTAATGTCTTCACTTTTATTTCGATCTGTGAGCGTATACCCTGTAATTCTTCTCAGTACTCTCATCTCTGCCGTTTCCAGTATCCATTGTGTTGTGGCTGTGTCGGTTCTTGTTTCTTAGGCATATGTTACTATTGGTCTTACATTGGCTTTATATATTTTTGACTTCATCTCACTGTTATATAATGTGTCTGTTTCGCCATATAGTGTTTTAAAAGTATTTTATTTCCACCACCTGTTCAATACTGATGCCATCAATTTATATTTTAGATCTGGTTGGTTCTTTGCTGATTACTATTGTTTTAGTTTTCTAAAATGAGATTGTCATATTAAATTATTTTGCTCTTATGTTAAATCTGTGGACCAGTTCATCTTGAGTTACAAATATTGCGTTGTCCGCATAACAGAGTATTTAAAAAAATATATTTAAAAATTCCTTTATTAAAGGTATATATTATACCTTTTAAAGCTGTATTATAATATATACCTTTTATAAAGGAATTATTAAATAATTATTTGACTTATGAATTATTAATAATTTGACGGTATGGTCAACTTGGATCCTCAGTACATGCGCTTAGCCACTAAAAGATGCACTTTGAAGCTAGATATTTGGTTAAAAAAATATAATATACCTTTTATAATGGAATTTTTAAATAAATTTTTTGTTATACATAGTATACAGCTGGCTACAGGAATTTAGTTTCCTTGTGGAGAGTATTTTTACTTCTTTGTTTCCTATTCTGTATTTTCTTTCTTTGTTAACGCTTTTGATGATTTCATCCATCTACGCTTGATATCAACTGTAAGTTGTCCACCTTTTTTTACTTCCATTTTGTTGTTTTCGTAGATGTTTTCAATAGGTCTTATAATATTTAGGGAATTTCTCTATTATACAGAAGATGGATTACATCTTTGAGTCTTGCCCTGTCAAATGCTTACTTTAAGTCAATCAGGCACAGAAATGCTGGTCTATTATACTCTAGTGATTTCTCAGTAATATTCTATCTGTACATGATGTTCCACTACGAAAACCCTGTTGTTCATCTGCTAAACTTATCCTCTGATTCATTAGTTCATGTAAAATTTTAGTTGTAAGTTTTAGAGTTGTATTTGTATTTAAAGTAATGAAAATATTTATTTCATTTATAGATACACAAAATTATCGGCTTCGCCCCATCGCTCCTTCAAGTCATAATGATGTCTGACTGTGATATGCCCGTTCGTCAAGCTGGAGCCATTTATCTCAAAAACCTCATCTCAACCAATTGGCAGGATAGAGAAGCAGAAGCGGGACAACCGATACCTTTTGCTTTACATGAACAAGACCGAGCACTTATTAGAGACAGTATAGTGGATGCAGTAGTCCATGCACCAGATTTGATTAGAACTCAACTGTGCACTTGTGTTAATCACATGGTCAAGCACGACTTTCCGGGAAGATGGACACAGATTGTTGACAAAGTAAGTTTTTTTTTAATAAATAATCACTTTTTATTGATATTATATTTTGTTCTGTATACCAACAACCGTTTCTGTTTACCAGATCAGCGTCTACTTATCAAATCCAGACCCAAATGGTTGGCATGGAGCTTTCCTATGTCTGTATCAACTAGTAAAGAACTTCGAATAAAAAAGCTGAAGAAAGGGGACCTCTCCATGAAGCTATGAACCTCCTACTTCCTCAACTCTACCAATTAGAAGTTAGATTATTACCAGACACATCTGAACAGTCAGTACTTCTACAGAAAGAAGGATTAAAGGTCTATTTTGCCCTAACACAGTACATTTTGCCTTTAGATTTGATTAGTAAAGATGCTTTTGCTCAATGGATGGAAGTCTGCAGACAGGTGAGAATAAAATGTGTATTACTAAAGAGACCAGTTGCTGATACAATGTATTCTTAAAATGAAACAACTGTACATTCTTAAGAGTTAAATATTTTGGAGCTTGTATATTTCAGTTTTTGTTTGTTTCTTTTGAACAAATTAATTTTTAACACCACTAACGTAAAAGAAACTGCAGTTTTAATTGCCATATATCAAAACCCTTCACAACATTATATATCTGCATTTTAGGTCGTTGAAAGACCTGTACCCCCTGCAGCCCTTCAACCAGATGAAGATGAACGCCCAGACTTACCGTGGTGGAAATGCAAAAAGTGGGCACTTCACATCCTGTACCGTATGTTTGAAAGATACGGTTCACCAGGACATGTGACTAAAGAGTACAATGAATTTGCCGAGTGGTATTTGCAGACATTCAGTGCAGGCATTTTGGAAGTTTTACTGAGAGTGTTGGATGGTTATCGTGGTGGTAATTGGGTACCTCCTAGGTAAGTTACTGATTGTTTTTATTTGATTAGCATCCGAATTATAGAACATTAAATTGATCTTACGTTCATAATCATGTTCTCGATCTTCCTAATGTTAGTAGTCAGTAGTTACAGTGAGTAATGATATTATCAAGATAGTGGTAACTTCTTTGGAATAATTTGAATATGAATATTTAACTGTACATTACGACAACATTCAAACAATTACATACAGCTGCCGGAACCAACTATTGCCGGTGGTGGAAATTCTATCTGCGTAAAGTTAAGGTGGGTGTATGACAGAGAAAGTATTCGGAATAATATGATATAGAAACTTTTGCTGGCAGTTTTATGTACGATGGATTAAGGGGTAAAATATATGGATAAAATGCCATTTGGGTTGGTTTAGGTGTATTAAAAGCAGTTTATGAAGAGGCAAATTTGAATAATTATAAAAGATAATTATTATTTGAAACTTTTAAAAATTGGATCCCATAAGGTAGTGGGCTAAGACAGTTCCCTGGACTGTCAGAAGAAAGAAAGAGTGCATCATGCCAAATGACATAGGAACTTAATTAAGAGGAAATTATTTTCTATTTATCTTAATGAGAAATGACCAATATGAACTTTTGAACTAAATAATAATTGAACTTTGAAAATAAGGCTATTATCGAGCACAAGTTAATTAAATCTTAGCCCAAGTACTTTCGCTTAAATAGCATCTTCAGGGGCATTTTCGTCGAAATGTGAACTATCCGGCAAGTCGTAGAATGTGGAACATTAAAAATAACATAAATTGTACAAAACACTACACTAAAACGAGGACAAACAGTTTAAAATTACTTCTACGCTACATTCTCTCTCTTTAAACTGTTTGTCCTCGTTTTAGTGCAGTGTTTTGTACAATTTATGTTATTTTTAATGTTTCCACATTCTACGCTTGCCGGATAGTTCACATTTTGACGAAATGCCCTGAAGATGCCATTTTAAAGCGAAAGTACTTGGGCTAGGTTTAATTAACTTGTGCTCGATAATAGCCTTATTTTCAAAGTTCATTTATTCGAGCATTCAACCTCATTTCATTTAAATAATAATTAGCATCATTCCAAGCAGTAATGGAAAAAATTAAGATTGTGCAATTGGAGGACATGATACTTTTTCACACAGAAAAACAACTTTTTACAATGAATTGTACATGGTTGAAAACGTGGACTTTATTTGTGTAGTGTATCACAAGTTTCATCGCTAGTTATAGTGAAATTCCAAAATTTCTTCACATTTTTTTGGTAGGCTGAAAGAATTCGCGGACAGCGGACATATTCAACATAGTTTACAACACGTTTTGACACGTGTATGATATCGCCATTGAGAATTTTGGAAACTGCCATGCACACACGTTGTAATACTGCAATTGTTATATCGAAATATTATCAACTGTACCGACAGTAACATCAGGAATCATCTGGTACAAGTGACAATACGTAACTTATTTTATGAAATAAACTATTAAAGAGTCTGTGTTTTTATCAAAATTACTTGCATGAGTTTTTGCACACCACATACTAATATTTGTTTTTTATGTAGAGTTCTACAGCAGACATTAAACTACCTCAATCAGGCAGTGTCCCATGGACATACGTGGAAAATACTAAAACCACATATGCCTGCTATCATTCAGGATGTTTTGTTCCCCCTTATGAGTTACTCGGCCGAAGATCATGAACTTTGGACCGTTGATGCTCATGAATATATCAGAGTTAAGTTTGGTAAGTACCATTCTTTGCAATATAAATTCAACAATTATTGTGTAATGTATCGCATTAATATACTAGATATATATATATATATATATATATATATATATATTTATATATATATATATAGCTTAATTTAAAATTCCTTTTAATTAAACTACATTCATTTTACATTTTCCCTGTCAACAACGCACGTGAAAGCCAAACAGGGTCGTACTGAGGTGTATTCATATAATTTTTAAAATATTTACTTTTGAAACTCTTAGTATAAGAATTTCTTGAAATTTAATTATTGTAAGCAAAATTTAATATTACATTGAAGAAAAATGTGCTAAAATAAAATATTCATTAACTGAGAGATACATAACAAAGTGAACATTTTGAATAAAGTAGCATTGTCATAAGTTATCAAAGCATAAAAACATACCATTTAAATTACTCAGAGTATGAGGAGCTACATGTGCTGCTATCTTCCTCTTTATTTATTATTATTTGTTCGATTTGGTTTTCTATTATATTGTCCAAATTCCACATTTTGAACTCGACTTTTTGTTGAATGTGTTACACATTTTTGCCACGTAGTTGGACTAATATTACTTATTGCATAATAAAAATATTTTGTATCTCTGCAAATTTAAATGTAGTGTTTTTGGCTGCTACATAATTTTTTACTTCTGCCCATATGAGCTCAATCGGATTGAGCTCACACTGATAAAGGTGGGCAGCCTTAACACTACTTTGTTTTTGGCTTTTTGCCATCTCATCAATGGTGTATTTATTTATATTGTCCCTTATGTTCCTGAACGATAGCCAGCAGTTGCACTTATAACATAGAGTCCTCAAAAAGTATATTTGGATGTCAGCTTTTTTAGAAGCAGTAATTATAATTTTTTCCAATTTTCTGAATGATAAGACGCGTTGTCCAATACGATGATGGAGTTGTCTTCTAATCGGGGCAGTATATTTTTGAACCAATTTTCGAAAGATTTCCCGTCCATCTCTTCATGGTAGTCCCCGCTTTTTTGATTCAAAATACCCACAGCCCTTCTGAAACAAACCTCTTCACTGCCAATGTAACAGATATTAATCTTTTTCCTTTTCCTGAAAATTTTATTGATTGAAGTGAAAAAGCGTATAAACATTTTCTGCAGGATTTTTACCACCGTAGAAAGTCCATCTAAAAACGCTTGTTTTATAGACGTTACGTATTGTCGACCCATAACTTTAGATTGTTTTGACCAGCCTTTAGCCAAGTCTCGTCTGAGTAGTAAATTTTGCGGTTTTCATTTCTGTGTAAGACTTAATTTTTATCAGAAATTCTCGTCTCCACAAGAAAATTTTGTCCCTGTCAATCAAAATGCTGTTTCGCTGATGATGTTGAAACTTATTTATTTCTTTTCATAATTTAAAAAACGTAGTTCTTTTGAAGTTAAGCAAAACCGGATATTCATTAACAACCCTCAGAATTTTCAGAAAAAAGAATTGATGGATTCTCTGTCAAATTCATCCAGTGAGTTTAACAATACCTTTAATATGCTCTACTGATTTTGGTGTAATTTCATATGCATGAACCACATGACGTATACTTCGGCTACACACACCTACAATAGATAAAAAGGAACAATTTTTGTTAAATAAAGTGAAAATGCGCACTCTAAAATAAATAATGGAGAAAACAATATCAGTAACTGTTTTATCTGCCACTCTAATAGAAATCGCACTTTTCGACATTGCAGGGTTTTCCTGCATTTTCGTTTTAAATATATTAATAACCATTTCCTTCGTTTTAATGTCAAAATGTCCCTCTACTGGTCTTTTTTTAGGTGAAGTAAGGGTACATCAATATCAATGACTTCATCGGCTGTATCAGTGCTTGACATTTTTGATATTCTATTTATCTTCAATAACTTAATGTACTTTTTTGACTGAGAGAATGTCAAAATAACCTAGAGAAAAATAAGATGTATTGTAATAAATCCAGCATCATTGAAAATATCGGTAAAGTTATGAAACTGGATTCTGTATAGTTTTTCAAGTCCGGAAATATTCCATTCAATCACGATAAAAACTCCCCAAAGAACAGCTTGGATTAACATGGCATTTGGCATACACATAGCTAACATGTTACATAAAAAAAGTTATATTGTGTCTATGTGTGCTTTAGCCCTAGGGGTGAATTTCACCCATTCTCATGGGTGAAAAAACATACTTTCAAAATAAGTCAGGAATTGGATAGACTGAGCAACCTTTGTTCTATAGAGTTTTTTCACTGAGTCAATACTTTTCGAGTTATTTGCCAGGGTATATGTTCATTTTTCAACAACAACAAAAAAACAGGGTTTTTAGACGGTTTTTGCAAATAACTCAAAAAGTAAGTATCGAAAAAATATTCTTAGCGAAAAATATAGCTTATAAAATCGCAAAAAATGCTGTACATATAAAGCCAAGAAGCACATTTGCAGCTAATGAAAAGTAGGTTCTTATTCGTCAAATTCAAAATCGAATATTTCACCGTGAAAGAATAAAAAACGAGCACTTTCCCGGACGGACAGCGAGTTTTCCATGATAAGTGCTTCATTCTTTTAATATTTCTCGTTGAAATATTCGATTTGAAATTTGAATTACTTTTCATTAGCTACAACTCTGCTTTTACTGACTCACAGACTTCATATAGGTATTAGTACATCATTTTTTTTAAACTTTTTTTTAAGCTATATTTTTGATAAGAATATGTTTTTCGATAAAATATGTTTGATAAAAAGGACGCTGTGTGAACATTGTGGGGGATAATGGAGATCGACTTGTCCAGTTCTGTCAAGAACACGATTTAATTATATCGAATACCCACTTTAAACTAAATCGACTGTATTCTAATAAAAAATCGATTTAGAAAACTCCATCAAATCAGTTAAAACTTATCCAGGTGCTGACATTGGATCCGATCACAATTCCATAGTAGCTGTAACCCAATCACAAATAAAAAGGTGATCAAAAAGAAGTCTCGCAAACATATATTAATACAGCCCAATTACAAGACAAGAAAGTTAAGGAATCAGTTCAAAGACAACTGAACGAAAATTTAATTTAGGAAAAATATTGGTGAAAACGTCCGTTGAGGGCTCTTAAATAAATATTGTAAACAACAGTAAAAGAAATCTGTATGAGAAATTTACAAGGCAGGTCAAAACTAAAAAAGCAGGCTTGGATGACAGATGACATATTGGATTTGATGGAACAACGGCGACTAGCGAAAAACAACACTAAACACTTTACAACAGCATACAAAAGAGATTCGACGTAAAATACGAGAAGCAAAGAGTCAACATCTAGCCAAGCAGTTGTCATGACATTGAAGAACTTGAAAAAAAGATACGACACGTTTGTACCGTCGATGCGTAATAAACATCCCATACATACACACATTAAGTTCAAGGTCAGAATAGCTCAATTCGGAGAGGAATGGCGGGGTAAGGTCAAGTGTATAGAAAATTACATATCTCAAAAATCCAAACACAATCAGATAATCCGAAATTATAATGTATTATTGGACGCCACCCCTTGTTTATCCTCGTAGGGGACGAGAGAGAATAAAAAAATAAAATCAAGAATTGGTTGATAAAAACAAATGAATTTATATGTTATGTCCAAATTTCGAAATTAGTTTACATTTAAAATATTTAGTAGTTATTTATTAACTAGGCATAATAGAAAGTTAAATCTTTAAACAAAATTAAAACACTGCTATATTTTCTTTCTCTGAGTCCATAATTATTTCTCGCTTTCTCGATAGGGTATAATAAAAAAAGAAAGGTACAACCTTAATCATCCAATAGCTGGCAACCATACACAAAGGATATTATGTTCTGTTTCTCTCACCTCCAAGCATTTCGTTAAATTAGTTATTAGGGGTCTATTTAGATCATAAGGAAATATTGGGCTGCGTTTACGACAGCATATGACTTCTCAGTTAACTTCGAGCCAAATAAACATAATCAATGATGTTTTTATCGTCCCGGTAAAAAAGGTCTAAAAATAATTATTTATCTGAAAATATAGACAAAAAAAGAAAGGCCTTTTTTCTTTGGCTTACTCTATAAAGAGACCGCTTCACAAAAACACGTCCTAACAGTTGGATGTTTGTAAGAGAAAAGAGACAGACGCTATCATTTCCCGGTTTAAATTGGGGCGTGATTGACAAGTTAATAATCGTTGAATTTATAATGAATTTCTAAAACTTTTGAAACGGTTACACCTTAAACATGTATAAAAAGTGAAAGAAGCGGCTGGTATATTCAATAAGAAACAAACTGCATTGCTACAGGATGAAAATGGTATAAAGTACTATTTGAAGTATAGGACAAACTTAAAGAATGGGGAAAATTACGTCACGAACCTATTCGAAGACGATAGGAGTAGTTCACCTCCCGATATTACTAACTGAGACGGACCCCTAATAACACGCTCTGAGGTTATAAAAGCCATACAATCATCAAAAGATGACAGAGCGACTGGTCCTGATGAAATTTCAACTGAAATATATAAGCTTACAAAATGATGTTTTACAGGCTATAACTTCGTTTTTCAATAATATTTATACCAGCGGACAACTACCTAATGGTTGGTCTAATTCACTGTTTATAGCTCTACCTAAGAAGAAAACAGCAAAAACCTGTGCTGATTATAGAACCATCAGTTTGTTAAACCACTTATTGAAAATTTTTTCTGAAGGCAATACATGGTCGTATCTACAATAAATGCGAGGAATACCTGGATGACACTCAGTTTGATTTCCATAACGGGTTTGGAACAAGAGAGGCACTGTTTGGAATGAACGTACTTGCTCAAAGATGTCGTGATATATCTGTAGACATATACTGTTGTTTTATTGACTTCTAAAAGGCACGTGTTAAGCACTCTATATTGATCGAAGCTCTAAAAGACATTGGCTTGGACGGCAGAAATGTTCGAATAATTGCAAATTTATATTGGAATCAAACAATATCAGTTTTAGTAGATGGTGTGGAATCATAGCCTTTCAATATTAAAAGAGGAGTACGGCAGGGATGCCTCTTGGTCACCCTGCTTTTTAACGTTTACTCGGAAAGAATTTTCAGAAAGCACTTTCTGAAAAACAAGAAGGAATACTGTGAACGGCGAAGTCATCAATAATTTGCGATATGCGGACGATACAGTACTCCTAGCTTCTAGTCAAGAAGATCTGCAAACACTATAAGAGTTGTAGGGAGTCAGGTCTGGATCTGAACATTCGGAAAAACCAAAATACTCGTAATACGTAAACAACAACATATAAAACGTCTATATATGGAAATAATACCAAACTTGAAGCAAGTTGATAAAATCGTTTACCTGGACAGCAATTAAATTGTAACACAGAAAGTCACGGAGAAATTAGATCTAGGATAGAGCAGGCTAGAGTGCTTTTAGAAGGATGTCCAAGGTGTTATGTAACAGAGACCTAAAATTGGCATTGAGGATCCGCCCTACTTCGACTGTGAATAAAATCTATCTAAATCGCTTTGAGGCTTTAGAAATGTGGTGCTATAAAAAAATTTTAAAAGTTTCCTGGTTGGAGAAAATTCGAAACTCCACAATACTAGAACGTCTCAGCAAGACTACTGAGATTATAAAAAGCATCAAGCAGAGAAAGCTGGAGTATTTCGGACATGTAATGAGAGGTCCCAAATATAGGTTGCTACAAAATATCATGCAAGGAAAAATAACAGGCAAACGCAGTCCAGGACGAAGAAGAACCTCATGGTTGAAGAACGTGCGAGATATTGGTTATGGTGTTCGATACAAGCATGCTATTTAATGTGACAGTGAATAAAATTAAGATAGCTATGATGGTAACCAACGTTCTGAAAGGACATGGTACATGAAGAAGAAGAAGATAAAATACTTACTTTTTGAGCTATTTTAATTAATGAGTCAGTTTATTCAATTCTGGACTTATTTTCAACGCATGTTTTTTCACACCCGAGAAGGAGTGAAACTCACCCTCGTGGCAAAAGCACACATCGACACAATATCAGTTTTTTCTTTTCCGCTTGCTATTTATATGCCAAATTTCATGTCAATACAAGCGGTTCCTTAATATTCACAGCAAAAACCGTGAATAAATGGACTAAAAAGGAAATAAAACATTTCGAAACATCAATAAATTTAAATATTGGTTTCTCTTACCTTAATTATTAAAGTGATTAATGCGAGCTATTTTTATTTTGATTAACAAATACTTTGTTTTTGGATACTAAAAGTTCACTACACACTATAAAACTTAATACTAAACACTTAAACTAAACTCTAAAAAATAACGCGACCAGTAAATAACTTAACAATAAATATAACATATAACACACAATATATTAACTTAAAAACCATCACGCTACAATTTGAATTTAAACAGACTGGACAAGTTTGGACCTGGTTGACAGTCGGGAATTTGCTGAACGAATGTAAGTATACTTTACATTTTAGAGCGAAATTATTTTTGAAGTGAATGTCTACTTCTTATCGCTCGGTATACCTCTATGTTTTTGCACGGGTCCTAATCAATCTCACGCGTGACCGAGACGCTTGGAGTATAACATACATAAATGTACATTTATTCTTATTACTCTGCTCATCGTGTAATTGCATACTATTTTTAGAATATAATGATAATCATAATGAAGTATTTAAACATAAATACAAGATAATAATTATATAACAAATAAAGAGCATGGCACTTGGTGAGTACCGACGGAAGTGAATACTTCTTATAGCTTGTTATTACTATATCTATGTTAAAGAAATTTTATGTCTGCTTATTACTGAATTGTTTGCAATGTTTATAATAACACTACATATTTAAAATCTTGAAAATTTAAAAAATGTTAATTTTTTTCTTTAAAATTTTTTATTATCACTATAATTCTAAAAATAATCATAAATAATGGGAGAATATGATTAATTAAAATCCACAAGGAAACATTCCTGCAGCTGGCTGGTATACCACGTATCACAAAAAGAGGTTAATCTTTGTATATGGGTATATTTAAATATACCCATATACAAAAATTAAACATCTTTTTTATTGATTAATTTTCAAAAAAAACTTTTACATTTGTCTAAAGTCAAAACTTAATCTACAAACGATTATGAAGTTTATAAAATAAACTTTTGTTTGTTTTAATTCATTTTATTTTATTTTATTTGATTTTAGTTAATTTTATTTAATTTTTTTAATTGTATTTAATTTTGTTAAATTTTATTTAATTTTATTAATTTTGATTAATTTTATATGGTTTTATTAATTATTTATATTTTTTATAATTTTTTACATATTTTCATTTTACAAAAGTACCACGCGCCCTTTTTTATGTAAGTTGGATATCTTAAGATATTTGTTCATATTTAACAACCAAATGATTTAGAATCAGTTCATAATTTATGATTAGTACAACTTATTTAATGTGATGATAACAGAGTTTTTGTAATTATGGCATACTCTATAATGATATTATTAATACTTTTGAAACTAATTTTAATTTTATGTTCTCTACAGACGTCTTTGAAGACTTTGTATCTCCGGTAACAGCTGCTCAAACATTATTACATTCTTCATGTAAAAAACGAAAAGAAATGCTGCAAAAAACTATGGTAATGTTGACTACTATCCTAACAAACACAGCAACTGAACCTGCACAAAAGGATGGAGCTTTGCACATGGTTGGTTCTTTAGCAGATATATTTTTAAGAAAGAAAATGTACAGGTATGCATCTTTTGTGTTTTATATACAGATTCAGTAATATTATAACATGTGCATTACAATTAATATACTGGAGTGCAAAATTAACCGGACACCCAGATTTTTCCTAAAAACTGGCGTTTTAAAAAAGTTCAAGATGTTCCCAAATGAGTATTTGATAAAAAACAAAATTTAAAAGTCAAATTTATCCCAACTTAAGAATGTTACACAGAAAAAACAATAAACAATTCAAAAAAATTTAAAATCTGCAATGAAACAAAAGTTATTTTTTAAATATAAACGTTTTTTTTTTATGGAAAACGCAATTTAGTAGATTGTATTACCTCCACGATCCACAAGCCTAATTACGGCTCTCATTCGATCAGGCGTATTTCAGATTAAGACAGCAAAGTCTAGAGTCTTGAGGGATTTGCTCCCATTTGTCACGAACTGCTTGCTCCAAATCATTCATGGTTTCAAACTCACCATGTTTATGTCGAATACATCGTCCCAGAATATCCCATACAAGCTTTATTGGATTTAAGTCTGCACTCCTTTTGGGACATGGTAATAAATGAATCCCAACTTCAGCAAAGTAATCCCGTATTATGCTTACGATGTGTGGACGAGCATTATCTTGTATCAGACGAAAGTTTTCTTCAACAAATGAGGCAAATGGCAGTACATGATCTTCCAAACATTGCTGAATATACCGTTGAGGGTTCAAATTGCCCCCTTGAATTATAACAAGTTTTGTATGAGCCTCTAGGAAAATGCCTGCCCACACCATTATACCACCTCCACTGAATTGAACTCTCGGAGTAAGACAACATTGCTGGTAACGTTCACCAGCTCTTCTTCATATTCTAGGCCGCCCATCTGATGAGTATCTGTTAAATCTGATTCATCCGTGAAAATCGACAAGGCACTCCAATCGTCAACACCCAAATTAGATGTTCGTGGGCAAGTGGTAAACGTTGCCTCCGATGATCTGCTGTTAATATAGGTCCCTTGACAGGTATTCTGGACCTTAATTCATATTAATTTAAACGACTTCGAACGGTATAAACGGAAATTGTGTTTCTATGGACATCATTTAATCGTTGAACAAGCATTGGTGCTGATAATGTACGATCGCGTAACGCTTGTAACCTAAGAAAGCCATCTTCAACTTGACTTGTGTGGTTCTTCGTCTACCTTGACCTGATCTCCTGGTGTATTGTCGTGTTTCCCCGAAATCTTTGTATTGCATCAAATACTGTACTTCAAGAAATTCTTAAAGCATTTGCAACGCAACGAATGCTCCGCCCATCATCCTGTAAAGCAACAGCTAGTGTACTTCGTCTGGTGTCATAATTTTTTTAATGTAAGTTTTAAACAGGAATAAATATAAAAACCAACAGCTGAACTTATAATCAGGTACAGTACCACAATAAACTTAAGTAATGCTAATCCACTATTTCACATTAATAACAAAACGCATGTGTAAAAGTGTTGTTGTTCTCACAAAACATCTGAATAGGTTCAAACAAGAAAAAAAACGATATCGCTAATATGGCATAAAATACAATTCAAACAAATTAAACCAGTTTTGATCTAAACACCAACAAAAAACAAAAAAATCTAAGTGTTCGGTTAATTTTGCACCTCAGTTTACTATGGAACACAACAGATCAAAATTATACTATGTTAAATTCTTCATTTGTCCATATTCATGACAGCATTCATTAAGTCGTTGCATTATGTTCTGTAAGTCTTTATTGTTATTCGTCATTATTCCTATATCGTCTGCAAAACGCAAGTTATTCAAAACTTCTCCATTGATAGATATATTTTGTTAAAGTCGTTCCATAGCTCTCTGAGTTTTTCTGATCTTCTCCATGTTTATTTTAGTGAATGTCCAGGTTTGAGCTCCATATATAAGTACAGGTAGGATACAGGAATTGAAACACTTTGGTTCGTAGTCTTTGAGGTATATTTTTATTTTTAAGTACATATGAGAGTCTTCCGAACGCTGCCCATCCCATTTTTATACGTCTGCTTATTTCGGTAGTCTGATTTTCTTTTGCTTACTTTGACATTTTGACCCAGATATGTATATTTCACCTACGTGTTCTGTCTCTGTCCCTTCGATGTTTATCATAGGTTTGTCATCTTGGTTTGACATTAGTTTAGTTTTGCTGAAATTCATTTTCAGTCCTTTTTTAGGGGATTCTGTGTGTAGCTCCTTCAATTCATCGTATTCAGTGCATTCCACGTATCGGCTATTAGTACTACATCATCTGCGTATCTAAGATATTAGATACGCATCTTAGATTGATAGATATACCTTTTATTAAATCTGAGAGAGCTTCTTTAAATACCGCTTCACTGTAGACATTGAAGAGTAGTGGTGATAGCACGCAACATTGGTGGAGTGTTATAAAACAGGCTAAAGACTCTAATAAAACAGTAGGATCTGTATCTTTCGATCTGGAAAGATCACTATCACTATTACGGATAGCTTCATGGATTCTATTTTAAAAGAGACAAATTTAGGTGTATTTTTTATGCATTCAAGTCATTTTTACGACTAGACGAAAGAGAATAAAAATCTGAAATAAATTGGTTTAGTTTTAATAAAACATATTAAACAAAATGTGTCTGATAAGATATCTGAGTTGATCTGATCTTGAGCTGGTTTTAACTGCATAAGAAAATAAGTTGGTTGCAAATATGTACATGAGATATTTATTGATAAAGAAAAATTATTTTCCATTTTTTTAACAAATTATGCTGAAATTGGTATTAGTAAAAAAAACAAGTAGGTTGTCTAGCAGTGTTTAGATGATTTGGCGATAATAATGTGACATAATAAAATCAAACCTGGAATTTATATAGGTACATACAATCCCTGTTGCATTTGATTCCGAATGATTCAGTGACCTACCAGATTTTGGAATTATCAAAATAATTATCATTGATATTTGTCATTTTCACCTAAGCAATAAAGTATTTTTAATCGTGTTTTTATTTTCCTTAAAGAAACCAGCCACAAAAAAGTAAATATTCGTTGTAATTATTTGTTATTAATTAAATTGCATTTACATAATTCAAAGCCTACATATGATTACAGTAAAAACTACCTTCTTTTAATAATAATTTTAACACCAATTTACTCAATAACATATTTTTGGGTCCTTTCCTTGCCACAAAGAGTCTATTCAAAATATGGCATGCATCAACCATCATTTTTGCGTTTAGTGTAAACTTCTTTAAATAAACAGGAACTTTTACAGGGATCAGTTGGATCAACTCTTCATAAAGTATGTGTTTCCTGAATTCAACAGCGACAGGGGACACATGAGAGCTAGAGCGTGCTGGGTTTTACACTATTTTGCCGAGTTCAACTTTAAGCAAGAAAATATTTTGATGGAAGCCATTAATCTGACAGTTCGTGCTCTTCTTTTTGATAAAGATTTACCCGTAAAAGTGGAGGCAGCCATAGCTTTGCAGTCATTGCTCAATTACCAAGAAAGAGCCCAAAAGTATATTGAACCACAAGTGAAACAAATAGCGCTCGAATTATTGTCTATTATTAGGGAAACAGAAAATGAGGATGTTACAGGTAAGAATAAATGTCAATTTGTGAATATTTTATGAAAAGCAGTAGTACATTCAGAAAGTAAAGTTAAAATGTATTAGAAATAGGTATTTGTTTCGAACATGGCAAGTTTCTGGAAGACCTCACAAATTACGATGTTACATGAAAATATTTGTTCTACGAGTAGTAAGCTATTTGTTGAAAATGAAAATGAAGTTTATAGTTGGTAGGTCCATCAGTAAATATCCGAATGACCCGATACTGTCCTATCGTAGTACTATCGATAATAATCCGTTGTCTTAACTGATCGGAACGCGTTGATCCGGGTCTTTAAAAGGTCTGTAAGGGTGTGTTCATTACGGAGACCATGGCATCGTATCCTCGCCTAGAGCATAGCTCTGACAGTGAACGCTTGCATTTATTTTACGTGGCGATGGTAATAATCATACCATCCTATGGTCCGATCGAGGGTCGACGCCTCGTTATGAACGTACGCTTACTCTCGTGACTGGACATCAATTAGACACCGCCTCGTTATCTGAACCACAGTATATTGCGTCTGAACTATGTAGCCACTGCTAAAATGTTTCTACGCTACTTAGTAACAAATTTCTGTTATTTTTCATACATTTATTTTTAGGTGTTATGCAAAAATTAGTATGTGTATATACACAACAACTAATACCGATAGCAGTGGAAATATGCCAACACTTAGCTACGACTTTCAACCAGGTTCTGGACACCGACGAAGGATCTGACGAAAAAGCCATAACGGCAATGGGTTTACTGAACACGATAGAAACCCTTCTAACTGTGATGGACGAACAACCCGAAGTTATGAGATTGCTAGAACCAACTGTACTACAAGTTATAGCTAATGTCTTACAAAACGAAGTTCAAGAGTTCTATGAAGAGGTGTTGGCTCTAATATACGATCTAACTAGTAAACAAATTTCTCCAGATATGTGGAAAGTTTTTGAATTATTATATCGGGTAAGTGAGATTGCATATATCTAAATAAGATTTTTATTTTTGGTAAATTACTTAATACTTTGTTATCATACAGTAGCTATACCGTTGCAGTGAAATAATACATTCGATATATTTTTAAACAATATTTTCAGGTATTTATGAAGAACGGTATCGATCACTTCACAGACATGATGCCTGCTCTACACAACTACATAACTATTGATACCAACGCGTTCACTTTCGGACGAGCAAAGACTTTTAGCCATCTACAACATGTGTAAACAAATACTCACTGAAGACTCGGGCGAAGATCCAGAATCTCACGCCGCCAAACTTCTCGAAGTCGTTCTATTGCAATGTCGAAAGAAGATCGACCAGGCCGCTCCCATGTTAATAGAATTGGCAGCTGCAAGATTGCTGAGGGAAGTCAAGACGAGCGAATTAAGGACGATGTGTCTGCAAGTTCTGATAGCTGCTTTGTATTACGATCCACAGTTGCTGTTTTCTGTACTCTCAAAAATGCCCGATTTCACTAACCATTTTATTAAACAATGGCTTCATGACACAGATTGCTTCTTAGGTAAATATATTTTTTATATGTACTATTTTAATGTGGGTACTTGCATCATAAAAGATAAAAGTCAGGAGTTCAAATCCTGTAAGAATGGGAAACTACAACTGAAAATTCTCTGTTTTAAAATAAGACGACAAAAAATGCTTATTTCTGCGTCTTTTACATTTTCGAGCATTTCATTCACTGTTATACTCATTCTCTATTCGTTGGTGCACTTGGTTGGAGCAAGATATATTTGTATCTATGCCAAACCAAAGTGCTATATAAAATATCCTTTATTTGCAACCCATCCTTACGAACGACTAAGGGTGTTACTAAAAAGGACGCACAGTGTTCAAAATTTATAAAATATTTTGACTTTTTAATAAATTAACGAAAATGATCTCGCATCTACTTCCTTATACATTAAATAAACATTTGTATGGAGCTTTTGACAATTTATTGTTTTCATATTCCCATGCGTTTGTATTTCGGAGATACAATTTCGTGATAATAAAAATATAGAATGTTACAGTTGAAAAGTAAAAAGAAAAAAAGTTCTATTGACAATATTTTTTTATTACTCTGGTATAATGTTCCTAAAATTTGATAAAAGTCAAAATACACCTGTTGTTTAAGTTCAAATATGGTTGTATAAATTAATCAATATATTTGTCCTCCCTGTATTCATACGATCCGTATAGTACCTCTCTCGGGCTCGGGAATGCATCCCGCTAAACACAAGAGCTTGAGCCGTTAAGAGGGACAGACGCAACCCGACAATGAACCAATGCACTCATATTGAATTCATTTTGTTCGTTATTTCGTAAAGTAGTGTAAAATCATGTTAATTAGCAGTAAGTTCACCTAGTTTTACCTGAACCTATAAATTGTTTTTAATTGTTTATTGCAAATATTTAAATTTTGATAATTATTTGTACCTATGAGTTACAGTTCATTTATCTTGCCAGGGCTATTGAAGGAAATATTTAAAAATAATTAAATAAGCAACACTTTTTTTATCTAATGCATCTAAATAGTAAAGTTTTCCATATTTTTTACCTGAATTATCTATTCCTGTTAGAAACGCATAAAAAGGTAGACTTTTGAGATATTGTCTTATGACACCAAGACCATTTACAACAATGAAGAAAATTAAACCGGTCAACAAAAAAATGATCAAAAATATTGACCATATTGGCATGTTGCTAATGGTTAATTGGCAAGGTAAAAGCAAGTTTTCGTGATATTGTCTTAAACATATACCAAAGACACACAAAGATTTTGCCAAATTGAAAAAATTAAACCGAGTAATAAAAAAATGTTATAGTATTGATATTACATTTTACATTTGTTTTTTTAGTTTTCGACTTTCATTCCGGAAATCGTTATCAAAAATAATATTTTAAAATAAGGAGATATAACCTGTTGTTTGTTAATTGACGCTTTATTTTGCCAATAAAGATGTTTTAGTTAAAAATTCTGAGGGTGGTGTTATGTCCTCAAGATGATATAAAATTCTGATTTTTGTGTGTTAATGTATTGTGTGTGTATATATTATGTATAATAGTAGATGATGTGTCTCTGACTTATTAAACCAATAATGTTGGAATATTCTTGTTGCTGAATTCCTCTTTTAGTATTAGTAACCAGACCCTGCTTTATTATATTGATGGGTTTGTTACACATTTTCTTACTGTGAAAAAATTGAATGTAACCTAATTGAATTTTTATTTTTTTTTCTACATGTTTTGGATACTTACTGTATGGTAAGTAAGCAACTGCAGGAGGAATATAGAACCGGTCAGTCTAGACTGTTTTAAAAGGACGTAAAAACAATGAAGGGCAACACGACCAACAGCCCAAGATTTATAAAAGACGATGCAGTACAATTGCTCACAGACGACGAGGAGATAAGCCGTCAATGGAGAAAGTATTTTGAGCAACTCTTAAATACAGAAAAACTTACAACGACAGGACAACAAAGACAGTACCAGTTAGCCGAACCTGAAATACCAGGGCCCACACTAGCTGAAGTAAAGTCCGCAATTTCGTCCCTAAAAACCATAAAGCCCCAGGCCCAGACAGCATACAGGCGGATCTACTAAAAAAAAGGGGAGAGAAAAGCTCCACCTTGAGATATATCATCTTATAAGAGAAGTCTGGGAAAGAGAAGAAATACCGAAACACTGGCATGAAAGCCATATAGTACCTATCCATAAGAATGGAGACAAACAAATATGTCGGAACTATAGAGGAATATCGTTAATCAATACAACGTACAAAATCATATCCACAATACTGTCTAGAAGGCTAACCTCATACGCAGAGGAAATAAAAGGCGACTACCAAAGCGGATTCAGACGGGAAGGTCAACCATAGACCAGATATTCGTCCTACGCCAGGTGTTGGAAAAAAACTGGGAATTCAACCGCGATGTGCACCAAATCTTCGTGGACTTTAAACAAGCTTACGATTCTGGTAGCAGAGAAGCATTGTGGGAGACCATGGTAGAAATGGGAGTACCTGGAAAGCTGGTACGATTAGCACAGGTGGAGCACAGAGAATGCTTCCGCACGGATCAGAATTGGCAGCACCACGTCGGAGGAATTCCTCATTGACACCGGGTTTAGACAAGGAGATCCTCTCGCCCCTGCTATTTAATTTTGCACTGGAACATGCGGTAAGGAAAGCTCAACACAACTGACAAACGGATTTGCCGCCAAGGATCAAAAATACTAAAAGACTATTGGCGTTTGCGGATGACGTGGACACAATTGCACAATCCTTCAGAGATGCAAAAGAAGTTTTCACCCTATTTGAAACGAAGTCAAGGAAGTTAGTCTGAAGGTCAACGAGGACAAGACCAAGTGCATGGTAGTTATGAAGAACCCAAGGCCAAGGGTTAGCCCTTGCCAAGGAAGGATGGAAGGATGTAGTGGCCAGTGATCTACACAAAATGGGAATACAGCAATGGGAAATAGCTGCTCAGGACCAACAACAATGGAGGAAAATAGTAAACGCGGCCAAGACTGACATAGAGTTGTAGAGCCAAATGATGATGAAGTAAGCACGGCTCTTCTGGAATGATTGTGAAAACGTCTTCGAGTGTCTGGATCTTTTCTGTAATTTAGTTCACAAACCATCTCGAACCTTTTGCAACGTGTTCGTAATGACCGGCAGATAGTTGATTTTTCTGTAAAAATTCTTCGTTCGAAAAATTGGTCTAAAAAATATTCTTCTTTTTATGTATACATGACTCTGTTTTTCAATGTGCCTGCAGTAACTTGTCGTTTCATCGTTTTCGTGGTCTTCCTACTGATCTTCTTATTGGGGAACTCTTGCCGTCTTTACTACTCTATTTGATGTCATTCGGCTTATATGATCGTTCCATTCTACTCTTCTATTTCGTACGATGTTCTCCATCTTGCATCTACGTCGTATATCTGTACTTTTAGCTCTGTCCCATAGTGTTTTACTATCAATTTTTCATCAAGTGATTTCATCTCTACTGATTCTAACGTCCTTTTTGTCCTCTCTGTTTCAGATCGTGTTTTTGCTGCGTATGCCATTATTGGTCTGATGACTGTTTTGTAAATTCTGCCTTTCATTTCTTCCCGATATTTTTATTTCTCCATATTGTTTCATTCAGGTAGCCTGTGCCTCTGTTTGCTCCTATTCTTGCTCTTCCACTTCTGTGTCGAGCTTTCCGTAGCTAGATGATGTAATGTCTAGATATTTAACCTAAAAACTTTAAAACTTATTTAAAAAAATATATTTCTATCCATTATTTTCATATGCTCATATCAGAAATAACGTCATTTTCTCCTATAACTGAGTATGTCGTGATTTCATCATGTAATTCGGATTTATTCAGTCCTTACTCTATCATCGAGAGTCTTGCCGGTTGTGATTTTCAGTCTTCATCTCATACAATCATCTGCATCGAATTTTTTAGTTTGTTAAGTATTACTTGATTTATTTTTGCTCCCAAATCATTGAAAGTATTCGTAGTTCGCTTACAATCATCAAGTTTGTATAGTAACAATAAAACACTGAAAACTTTGTTTTCAAACTTACACAAAATTTATTTTAAATCTTATCACTACAGCTGTTTCGGCTGATTGCCTTTCTCAAGTGATCTATTTTTGGCTTGGGTTTACAAATTTATAGTCTCTAATGAAATAGGTTGAGGAGGGGAGAACTGTTTGTCTCAAGTTGGTCATTCAGAATTATATCTGTGTTTTTTAATTTGTTGCTTTCCATAGATTCTAACAAAGATAACTTAAGGCCTTTATTTTGAATGTGAAGAATTTTAAATTTGTCATTAAAAGAATGATTATGATCTAGAAGGTGAAGTGCGTATGTCGAATCTGTTTTTCTATTCTTGAGTTTCTTAAGTTTCTGTTCTTAAGTTTGTATAGTGCTGTATGTATATAAGTTATTGATTGGCTTAAAGTATTATATTCATTATATAGCCACATGCATTCGTTGTTTTCCTTTGTATTTATAACTGTCCAAAATTCAGTTCTGTACATCATAGCTGGGTCATAGCAGTTTTATAAAATTTTCTCTTCAGCTTCATTGGAATTTTTCTGTCAGACAACACACCACTCGCTTCCTTCCACTTCAACCATCCATCTGGATTACTATCTGTCAAATACTATCTCAAAGGGTTACAAGTTTCTCATGAAGATGAAATCATTTTCTGTGCGCATTTGTTCTGGATTTTGCGTGGTATGTAATAATTCATCTGCTGATAAACCAGTCCATTGACGAAGGTTTCGGAGCCATGAATATTTGTTCCTACCAATTCCTCTTTTTTCCATGATCTTTCCGTTGAGTATTAACTGTAGTATCCAATATTTTCTACGTATCATTATATGCCCCAGATAATTAAGTTTTCTCTTTTTTTATCATCTTCGTCAAGTCACCTTCGCTTTGATCTATTCTGTTTCTATGTTTGAGATGCGTTGAACCCTTGATATTTTGAGTATTCTACGATATGACCACATCTCGACGGCTTCTAATTTGTTTATCATATTAACCTTCATTACGTAGATATCACATCCATATAGTAATACAGGATACACATTAACATTTTTCTAATTTGATTCTTAGTTGTAAGTTCAGCTGAGAATTGCACAGAATTCCCCCACTCCAATAAAACATTTTACTTAAAAAAGTTGTGCAGATTTTTATTAAGAACTTTTTAGTACCAAATTTACCCGGTAGACAGAGAGTCGTTTTGGCCATTCGCCGTAATCTGATAAACCGATTAACTTACCCGTGCCAGCCGTAAATATATCTGTTCCAGCTATTATTATTATGTCATCAGAGTTGTTCTGTTCGACCGTCTATCTTAAAATTTTTTTGAAAAGTATTGTTAGTTTTTCTGATGGTTTATTTTTACCTGTTGTTTAACCTTAAGTTATTAAAAAAAAACTTACAGTGAAATGAAACTTCTAATGTAATTGGTATAATTTATTCAATAAAAGTCCATTCCTACTGGACCATCATCAGTGAATTTAAGAGTGGTTGCTTAATAATCCCATCACAAAACAGTTAATGTTTAAATTACACTTTAAATGTTAAACATTTAAAGTGAAACAACACAATGTCGATGTTAATGTTTTATATAGAGCTACTATCCTACTTGAAGCTAAACCTGCATGTGGGTTGTGCCAAAGACATCAGCCAACTTTTCCCCACCCAGATGCAGGTTTTGTTTCGAGTAGGGGCCAATGTGTTCCCTTAATAAATCTTTTAACATCGACATTGTGTCGCTTCACTTTACAATTTTAAAATGTAATTTAAACACATTCACTTTTTGATGGAGCTACTAAGCAAGTACTCTTAAGTTTACTTTGTTTCGATGATGGTCTAATAGGACTAAAAACGTTTTGAACAATATTGTAATCGTTTAGATCTTTAAATTGTAATGTTTTATTAAACATATTGTACCAATTACATTATAAGTTTCTACTTCTGTAAAGTTTTTTAAACCACATGGTGTACAGTAAAAGCCAACCACCGGGAACTTTCCCATTATAAGTTTTTGTTGATTTTATTTTTGAAACCATGTTTCGTCAAATACTTCTCTCGGTATTTTACCATCTTCTATGTTATGTATCTAAAATAATCTTCATATGTGTTTTTCGAAACCGAATCTATTTGTTGGCAAATACGTTGACAACTTTCTTAACATTTTCCATATTAACAACATTACCTATATGTTTCTTTTATTTTGCTAATTTTTACATTCTCCATATTTCTGGATCAATGTATTGAATCTCTTGTATCTTAAGGTTGTGTATACAGCTTTTGTGATGATAAGGTTGTGTATTGATTCCAAATTACATCTCTAATGTATATCGGCTTGGTTTTAAATTTTGTAGGTTTTCCTAACTATTCCTAAACTATTCTTGCAAACAGAGGATTATGATATAAACCAACATTAGCTGAGGTTAGTTGTTCTACCTCTAGAATGTGTATGGAGGTTACTTTATTTTGTTGGTTAATATAATAATTGTACCAAAGAATATAGACGCTTATAGAAGAATCTTTCACTGTTATGTTTGAAAGTTTGCAAAAGATGATCGCACGTTATGAAAAAGAATGAGAGGGTGGATCGAGAAGGGAGCGGTCATGTCAACGCTATTATTGCTTTTAAAATATGAAAGAGTGGGGCAACAAATGCAACAGATATTTTTATGTATAATGCCAGAGAACTACGAACACATAATGCCGCGTGGCCGTAGAATAGGATTAAATTTTTGCGTTTTACATTATTTTTTAAAGAAAATAATAATAGTTTAACTTTTAATAAATGAATCATATTAGAAAAAATATTATGATTCGAATTTTTAATTTAAATAGGTACAAATCTACAAATAATATTATAGTTAATAAGAAGAACTCTCTTTTTATTAACTATAAAATTAATTCAACCAATAAAGTCATCAATCACCGGAATTAAATATTTCCAAATTTTCTAAATTTAATAATTTCTTCTTTGTTTTTAATATAAAATAACATAAAATGTAAAACACAACACTGTTTTTTCTGCAGAATAATGGAAACATATCTAAAAAGTTTAATGAAAAGTCCTGAGAAAATCAAATTTTTGGTTGAATTAACCCAAAATTAACGAAATATTTTAAAAAAATATTTCGTTAATTTTTGGGCAGAAAAACAGTATAATAAAAATTTATGTGACGGTTTTTCGTTGTGTTGGAACAAACCTATTTTTAATTCAAAGTTATAAAATGTAAAAAATAAATGCTTTGAATATTGTAAATATCATACCTTTTTAAATTTCAAAATTCAAAATTTAACAATTTAATATAAGTATTGAAAATAAAGATTTTATTGTGAAAAAAAAAAACAAAAAAAGCATGGGATTTTTTTTAATCGTAGATGCAAAGTTAAATAAATAGCTCCTCCGTTCGTACTCCTTTCCCACTTTCCCCTAATTACATCTTTTATGAGATAGTTTAAGCCAACTGCCAGATGTGTTTTAAAGTGTAAACCCTAACCAAATCGTCCATTTGAACTGTTCTTCTATAAGCGTCTATATTCTTTGATTGTACATTCAATTTTGCTTTTGTTAATCTATAATTTATATAATATATAGTTCTTATATGAGTTATTGCATTCAATTTCTTGTTATTTAGGTATTCACGATAGAAAATTATGCGTATTAGGATTATGTACATTAATATCGATGCCAAACAAGCCTCCAGTATTGATCGAAGTAGCTCCGAAAGTGGTACCATCTCTGATATTGCTATTCGAAGGACTTAAGAGAGCTTATGCAGCTAAAGCTGCAGAAGCTGCCGAAGAAGAGGAAAGCGAAAGTTCTGATGGGGAATTAGAAGGTAAAACATTGTTTATAGCATTAAAAATCTACAACTTGCATTGTTTTCTTTACACTAATTGCAAAATAATTCTGGTGTCATGTCACAACGCATAAACGGATAATATGAACGTCATTTTAAATTTTTTTATCAAACTTATCCAAATTTAGCCATTTACAGTGGAATTGTCCTTTAGGTAAGTACTGTCGCAAAATATCCGAATGAAATATATCTATCCACCTTAAAGCACAGTTTAAAAACTGTTCCGTGGAAATATTAGCGTAGTACCAAGTTTACTTAAGAAGCAGGAGTATATGAGATTGGCGCAAAAAAGGAAATAGATTTCTAAATTCTACGAGGAAGTGGTAGTCTGTGAATACAAATTTTACAAATATTTGTAACATCTTCCAAGATTGGTTTCATCAAAAAATCATTCCTAAAGTAGGAAAAGTTTCCACAAAAGGCGCTTCTTCTGCTGGATAATGCTGGTGCTCATCCCAATGAGCCTTAAGATCTGACGATGGAAATTTGTTTGGTATTTTTTTTTTTAGCCAATGTTACATCAATTTCTCAACTAATGGATCAGGTGTTATTGACACAATGAAACGTCTCTACCGAATAGAATTTATAAACTTATTGCATATGCACATGTGACAACAATTGAACAAAAAATGAACAATTTTTGCATATACAGGGTGGTGAATCGTCAAACGGACCATAGGAAATTCAATGGGAAATTCTGAATTGTTGAATTCCTGCTTCCCTGCTTAAATTATTTTACATTAAAAGTCATAAGAAACTATTTTTAGAGGACTGAAATATGTATTAAAACAAGTATTAAAATTGTTCTACGAACTAAATGTATTCCAAAATTTTGTAAAAATATAATACATTTTTCAGGCCACCCCTTAAGTTCAGGCGACACGAGGCACAAGAATGTGTATGACATGTTGCGTTTGGTCATAGTTATGTGTTTCTAATATTATATTATATTATCTATGTTTATGTTTCTGATATTTGATAATATTTGAATTTCCAAAATTTTAATTTTGCGATTTATTGTAAAAAACAATATAGTTGATTAAAAAATGTATTTAGTTGAGGAGAAACTATCAATAATAAAAATGTTTTATTCAGGCAATAGTGCGCGAATTGTCAGTTCTTTATTTAGCGTAAGATATTTCAATAGAACAATTCAAAATCATTCAACAATTCAAATGATTTTAAAAAAATTTTGTACCTAATGGGACCGTTATTTCTAATTGTACCTGTACAAACAATATTGCTGAGATACCAAAAAATTTAGAAAAACAAAATGAAATAAATGTGAATGAGTTTGTAGAAATGCAGCAGTTGTAGAAAATCCTAGAATAAGTTCTTGGACCATTGCAGACCAGTTTAATATTCATAATTCTACGGCGTTAAAAATTTTGAAAAGGAATAAACTCCGTTCATATGAACTGAATACGTTCCATCAATTTTATTGCTTTGTAAACAACACTACACTAGTAGTAGTAGTATTTGTAAAAATTTGCGTATATTAGTATTTGTATAATTTAATAACAAAATGAAAATATTGACAATTCAAATATTGTCAAATATCTGAATCATCAATATGACCAAACGCAACATTTCATACACATTCTTGTACCTCGTGTTTGTTAACATTTGTTTTTAATATATATTTCAGTCCTCTACAACTAGTTTCTTATGACTTTTGATGTAAAATAATTAGGGAAGCAGGAATTCAACAATTTAGAATTTCTCATTGAATATCCTATGGCCTGTTAGGCGATTCACCACCCGGTACATATGTGAGAATGAAAAGTACAATGGAAATATTCATTAATAATTTTGAAAGAAACGAATGATGAAAAATGAAAATGCATAAAACTCCTATTTTGCGAAATGAAGCAAATTCCTCATTAGGACTTAGACTGGATCTGATAAAAACAAATAATTCATTATAAACAAGGCATTTTTAAAAAACGCTGATAGACAGTTAGAATATTCTTTAATACAATGCTGGTCATTGTAGGCAAGTCTCTAACAAGCATGTTACGCTCAATTTCTGTATAAGTTAATATTTTTATAGCGATAAAGCATAATACGTTTTTTGAGCACATTTTCGAGCATTTCATTCACTGCTATAGTGCACTTGGTTGAAGTAAGGTATATTTGTATCGATGCCAAACCAAAGTGCTATAAAAAATATCCTTTATTTGCAACCCATCCTTACGAACGACTAAGGGTGTTACTAAAAAGGATGCACAATGTTCAATTTTTTTATAAATATTTTCTTATGAATTTCTTATAAATTAACGAAAATGATTTTGCATCTGCTTTCTTATATATATATATATATATATATATATATATATATATATATATATATATATATATATATATACATTAAACAACGTTTGAATGAATGTTTTTGCAATTTCGCCAGACATTATCTTAGACAGATATGATCATCTCGCCTTGTGCTACCAGTTTTAAAATAGAACAAGTGAAATATGAAATGCAACTACTAAAGGGAAACGATGGGGTTATTTTCAACGTTCCCTGAGAGCACCAAAACCCTCGTGGTGACCTGTCTTGATTTCTTACAGGATTTAAGCGTAGGTTGCTGATTCGTTTTGTTACTCTTGTGGGGGTGAAATTATACACTTACACTTTACTTCTTCGCTTTATTTTACTTGCGAACTATATATACACCTTGCACTTTGCAACACTAAACTAACTTATAATTAAAACTTGTAATATATCTATATACGGGTGAGAGAGAGAGAGAGAGAGAGAACGAGGAGAGAGAATGACTTATTTAGCGACTTCTTAACTTGAACTACATAATGCGACTGCCCTTATATGCTTGTATGCAATATGTGGCCAGCTTGGGTAAATGACAAAGGGTCAGCGGGTGTAAGAGGGGCGTCAAATGCACTGAAGATTTCTGGTTCTTTTAACTAATAAGGGCTAACATGTGTTATTAAGGAACAGAGGCGGCGTTAGGTTAAATTGAAACAATTAAAGAATTAGTTGGTTTTCCAACATACTCCCAGGCCTTGAAGCATTGCTTCAAATAATAAAATAGTTAATGACATAAGAGAAAACAACAAGAGACAACAACAAGAGCAAAGTTACTAGATTAACAGAAGATGAATTCTACTGTAAACCTAATTCTAGAGAACACTTAACAATAAACTATCAACTAAACATAGAATGCATGGGTGAGTAAACTTATTCCCTAAAAAATATTACACTTAGTAGCTAATTAACACACTTTACAATACAATGTAACATTTACCTAATATTTACACAGAATACTCTTCTGGCAATGGACACAATTTTGTGATGGGACGTGTGAAAGTTCCATCCTTCGTTTTGATCTTAACAACCCGCACCTTGCCATTACTGCCATGGTAGACCTCAATCACTCTGGCAAGCGGCCAATATAAGGGAGGTGTATTATCTTCCTTCAACAAGACAAGATCATTTTCTTTCATATTTTTGGTTGAGGTGAGCCACTTGGGACGGTTTTGCAACCTATTCAAGTAATCTGTGCTCCATCTTTTCCAGAAAAGTTGTTTGATTTTTTTGCAATTTTCCCAGAGATTTAGTCCAGAAGAGGAAATTTCACTTACATCGGACTCTGGGAAAGAGGTGAGTGGTTTGCCTATTAAAAAGTGGCCAGGGGTGAGTACAGAGAGATCCCCAGGCTGATTGGACATGGCACTGAGGGGGCGAGAATTGAGAACAGCCTCTATCTGGGCTAATACAGTGGAGAATTCTTCAAACGTGAGGTTTAGGTTGCCAACAAGCCTGTGGAGATGGTACTTCGCACTTTTTATGGCACTTTCCCAGATCCCACCATGATGTGGAGAGTGAGGAGGTATAAAATTTCCATGTAATCTCAGAGGAAGCGAGAAAATCCTTTATTGACTTTTGAGTGTCTTGGTTCCGCAAGAATTGAGCAAATTCTCTCAATTGATTTTTGGAGCCAAGAAAGTTGGTTGCATTATCAGAAAATATGACAGAGGGATTGCCACGTCTACTGATAAAACGCTTGAGGGTGAGCAGAAATGATTCTGTGGTTAGATTGGAGACAAGTTCCAGATGGCATGCTCGAGTGACCATACAGATAAACACAACAATATAACATTTGGTTGCAGGAGCCTTACGAAGTTTGGAAGTTTTGAGATTGTATGGTCCACCTAGGTCTGTTCCAACATTTGTAAATGGTTGCGAACACACTAGACGTTCTCTTGGCAAGTCTGCCATCAGCTGAGATGCTGTTTGAGCCTTAAAACGGAAGCATATCTTACAACTGTGAACAATTCTTTTGATCTCCCGCAGAGCATCAAGAGGCCAATATTTTAGTCTAAAGTTGGAGAGTGTACATTGTGGACCAGCATGACACAATCTAATATGCTCCCTCCTTAGCATAAGTTTCACTAGCTGATTCCTAGAAGGCAAGAGAAGATGATACTTTTGGTCAAATGGTACAGAAGCATATTTTAACCTTCCACCAACTCTCAACATTTCATGTTCATCCAGAAAGGGGTTCATGGACAAAAGGGATTTGTTTGTAATTGGCCTTTTAGTTTGAGAAGAGAAATTTCTTGTGAAAACGAGTCATCTTGTATGAGTTTGACAATTACGAGTTCAGCCGATTTGAGTTCCCTTACAGAAAGATTGTTGGAGAATTTTTCTGATGGTTTCCTGGTATTATGAGCAAATCTTAAGCAATACGCAATCACTCTTTGTAGATTTGTAAATGAAGAGAATGGTCGAATGAGTTCATCTAGGAATGAGGGAGAGACTTGAACATGATGGACAATCTGAGATTTTCTTTCCTCTGGAACGTGATTAATTTTGTTTTTTGAATTGAAAAGGGTGAGATTTAAATCAACTTGGGACAGAAAATGTGGACCATTAAACCAGAGTGTACTGTTCGGAAGTTCTAACGGTGATATACCTCGAGACAAAACATCTGCAGGATTTTCCTTGGATTTAACATACCTCCAGATAAATTCTGAGTTTTGTTGTATTGTTGCCACTCTATTGGCAACAAAGGGAGTCCAACGTGAAGGAGGTGATTTTAACCAAGCTAGAACAATCTCTGAGTCACTCCATAAATTTATGGAATCAATCTGTGGGATTCTGATTTTAAGGGTACTAACAATTCGTTGGGTGAGTTTTGAGCATATAACCGCACCCATAAGTTCGAGTCTGGGAAGGCTAACAATTTTGAGAGGCGCCACTCTGCTTTTAGAGGCGATAAGAGCACAAGAGAAAGTGTTAGAATCATAAATAACACGAATGTATACACATGCAGCATATGCTTCTATACTAGCATCTGAGAAGCCATGAATTTCGATCTTTCTAATATTTTAATTTTGAAAAGACATCTAGGAATTTTTAGTGACTGCAAGCAAGATAGACCTTGAATGAATTTGAGCCATTCTTTCAAAATTTCAGGAGCTGAGATGGTCATCCCAATCAATTTTTTCAAGCCAAATTTTTCTCATTATTAATTTTGCAATAATTACTACTGGAGCAATGAGACCTTCAGGGTCAAAAATTTGAGCTATCAGCGAAAGCACTTCTCTTTTAGTATAGGTGGTTTTTATGAGTGATTCTTGTGAGAACTGAGGTACAGAAATTGAGAATACATCTGAGTTGGCATTCCAGTAGAGTCCTAATACCTTACTATTACCATTTTCTGGAGCTATAACATAATTGGAATCATGAGAACGAGAGGAGACATTTTCCAAAAATGTTTGAGAGTTAGAACACCATTTGTGTACTGATATTCCTACCTTGTTCAATAATTCTGTGATTTCAAAATATGCCTTTAGAGATTTGTTGGGTCATCAGCACCATACAACATGTCATCTACATAGCATGCATTGAGAATAGCATCACTTGCAAGAGGATATGATCCTTGATGAGTGCGAGCTAACTCGACTAGACATCTACAGCTAAGAAAGTTACCACAGTTAGTACCATATGTTACAGTATTCAACTGGATGCATTGCAACTCATCTTGAGGGGAGTTTCGCCAGAGAATGTTTAGGAGATACCTTTGAGTGGGGTTTATGAGGATTTGCCTGTACATGTGCCTGAGATCAGAGGTAAAAAACATATAGAAAATGTTCTAAAATTTATGAGAGTGTCAGTTAGTTCTGGTTGAGTTTTATACCCCTTCAACATAATGTCATTGAGTGAGATACCGGAGCTTGTTTTCATGGAACAATCAAACACAACACGTAATTTGTTTGTGAGCTTTTCCTCACGAATAATACAATGGTGTGGGATGAAGTATTTGTTTTCTGACATTGGGTTTGTGAGTGTGAGAGGTACCACCTTTGCATGACCAAGAGAGAGATATTCTTGTATGAAGTTCTTATACTGGGTGTAAACTGTGCTATCTTTTACAAGTTTTCTTTCTAGATTGTCGAACCTCTGTCTTGCAGAATAAAAGGAATTGCCTAGTCTTTTAGGCTCTGCTGAAGATCGTAGTGGCAGATCTACTTGAAACCTACCTTCAGGTAATAATTTTGTGGTGGTTTTAAAGATATGTTCAGCAAGTTCATCATCCTGACTGAGCATGGGACTTTCAGGGAGTTCTTCAACCTCCCAAAACTTTTGAATGAGTGCATCGAGAGGTTCAGTGTTATGCAAAGAATTGATACAAAGAGAGACCTGAGTTGAGAAAGAAGAATTCTTGTTATTGTCCGAGACATGTGCATGATAGTTGGGAATTGACTGTGAAGGTAGTCTTCCTTGGAAAATATATCCAAGATGTGTATTTTGCAGGATAGGGCCATTTCCAAGTTTTATTATTCCATCCGTTAGCAGATCACAATATATGTCATTGCCCAATAACATATCAATTTTACCAGGTACTGAGAATGAATGATCTGCAAGATTTATATCATGAGGTATACTTAAGTGAGACCTACTTATCTTTACCTGTGGTAATTTACACGTTATAGTTGGCAGTACAGCACACGATACATTAAATCCATTTTGTGTTGTTCTAAAGGGATAGATAATGAGGTCTATCATCTTGTTGAAGGTGGAACAAGATTGAGATAAGGTGGAAATTTTAAGTAATCTATTATAAGAATGAAAACCTAACTGTTTACCAACTCTTGGGTTATAAAAACTTGTCTGGCTGCCATTGTCAAGAAGAGCACGGGCATGGACTAAATTTTTATCTTTGTCCACTAGTGTAACAAGAGCTGTAGCCAATACTACTTCATTCGTGAGTGAGAGTGCAGAGAATGACTGTGTTACACCGTGTGAATCAAAACTGTGAGAACCAGATTGAGTTTGTTGAGGATCATGATAGTGAGATGAGGTACCTGGTTGATTAGAGGGTGTATCATGTTGAAAATACATGTGGATTATTAGACCTAGTAGTGTCTTTATTAGTGCTATTAGCATGAGTTTGAGCAAGAGACAATGAGGCTTGAGGATTAGACAGAGTATTTTGAGAATTGTTTCTATTAAGAGAGTGGTTATCATTTCTGATCATGTGAGCTTCAGGAGGAGATCTTTGTGTAGCAGTTGAGTGTTGTATATGATTATCTCTATGAAGGAGTGAGTGATGTCTTCCATGACAGATAGAACAAGTTGACTGCGATCCACAATTTGCAGTGAAGTGCCTTGTTCCCAAACAATTTCTACACAATTTCTTTGTGTTTACAAACTTCAGTTTTTCCTGAAGCAATGAGCCTTTGAATCCATTGCAATTATAAATTTTATGGTTTTGAGAACAAAACAAGCATCTTAAATTATTTGTTTACTTTCAATATTAGAGAGATGTGTTACACGAGCATGACTACTAGAATTAAATTTTTGAGTCTGAGGATTAGAGCTATGCAGTTTCTCAAGGATTTCACATCTTTTCTCTAAAAATATAAAAAGCTGAGCTAATGTAGGTATTTCCTTGGAACCAAGTTCATACTCAAATGCCTTATGAGAATTAAAATCTACCTTTTCTAAGATTAATTCAATCAAGATAAGATCCCAATGCTGAACTGGAATCTGCATATTACTGAGAGATTGCATAGTTTGCTTTATATTAGTCAAAAAGCTTCGAAGTGATTGTGGAGTGCATTTAACTAGGGATGGAATTTTTAATAACCTTTTAATCAAATTACTAACTATGCGAGCTTTAATTATCATACCGTTCCTTTAAAGTATTTAGAGCAATATGGAAATTAGTATCAATCACTTCCAAACTTTTAATTAATTCCAAAGGTTCACCATTAACATGCGTTTTTAAATATATTAGCCTTTGTAAATCATTCAAATCAGGATTTTCAATTACTAAAGTGCTGAAGAGTTGAATAAAAGAGTTCCAATCTGAGAATTCACCTGTGAAAACTTTCATTGTTATCTCTGGCAGTCTTATTGAATGTTTTAGAGGCATGACTTTGTGAAGTATTGTGAGAATCTACATTTGTTACAATTTCATTAATATTTTTAATTTTTCTTTGAATCCCTGCCAGAGCATTAAAATACTTACATTCGACATCATCCCTATCTGAAGATTCAACATCAGCATCATCAGAACATTCGATCTGATGTTGAATTGCTTCATATTGTTGAAAATAGGTCCTCAGTTGCCTTTCCCTATTTTCAAAGTGCAAGATGTCAAGTTCTGAGTCTTTGTTAATGTTGAACCAATTGAAAATTCTAGTAATACCTGCTTTTAAAACTTTTCTTTCAGTTTTTAATATGTTCCAAAGCCATTTTTAAAGAGATTGATAAACTTATTGATATGATAAAATAAAATATACAACTTTATATGTTTATAATATATATAAACTCGTATAAACACAAAATTACTACTATAATTTTATACGAATTACTATTTTAATCAGTTTTTTTAAATCCTGATGTGAGTTTAATTGAATATAATAAAATTAAAATTTCTAGAGTCTAACCTTTAAATAAACCAAAACAAAACACAAAAACACACAAACTGTCAACAACTTCACACCTGTTGTGAAATCCGTCGCTCTGTTCGTGTCGTCGAGAGTGAAGAATGAGAGAGAAAGAGCCGCTTACCTTGTGTGTATGAGAGAGATACCTTGTAGATTGCTCGGTTACTCGACAATCGGTGTATTCGAAACTTGAAGACGTACACTCCGTATACTAACCATGTGCTGCGTTCGGTGGTGTTTCGTGCACGTGCAGAGAGAGAAAGAGCGATGATCCCGTGATGTGGCGTTACCGGCTTTTTGATTTGAATTTTCCCGGGATTTTTTCTTTTTTCTTAAATTCACCTTCCACAAGAGATCTAGCGATGAAGGACCATAAAGGGAAACGATGGGGTTATTTTCAACGTTCCCTGAGAGCACCAAAACCCTCGTGGTGACCTGTCTTGATTTCTTACAGGATTTAAGCGTAGGTTGCTGATTCGTTTTGTTACTCTTGTGGGGGTGAAATTTACACTTACACTTTACTTCTTCGCTTTATTTTACTTGCGAACTATATATACACCTTGCACTTTGCAACACTAAACTAACTTATAATTAAAACTTGTAATATATCTATATACGGGTGAGAGAGAGAGAGAGAACGAGGAGAGAGAATGACTTATTTTAGCGACTTCTATAACTTGAACTACATTAATGCGACTGCCTTATATGCTTGTATGCAATATGTGGCCAGCTTGGGTAAAATGACAAAGGGTCAGCGGGTGTAAGAGGGGCGTCAAATGCACTGAAGATTTCTGGTTCTTTTAACAAATAAGGGCTAACATGTGTTATTAAGGAACAGAGGCGGCGTTAGGTTAAATTGAAACAATTAAAGAATTAGTTGGTTTTCCAACAACTACATTTAAATTTGTTTCAGATATTTTAAGTTCTGATGAAGATGAAATAGACGATCAAGGACAGGAATATCTCGAGAATTTATCAAAGAGAGCAACTACAGCTTTATCTCAGCAAGGCATGAACGTAACGGCCACAATTAATGACATTAATGATACTTCAGACGATGATGATTCCAATTTTGAACCGAACGAAGAAACTGTTTTGGAAACATACACGACACCTTTAGATGAAGAAGACTGCGACGTAGACGAATATCAAGCATTTAAGCAAGTGATGACAGGTAAGATTTTGTTTTATAATATGTCTTCCTTGAGAAGAAATGATAGAAAATTCTGTAGAGTATTCTGTCCTTTCCTCGTGCAATGTCCTAATTTTTATTTTGGTTACGTCGTTTTGCCTGTAGCGGGGATATGACTTAAAGTTCAACAATTTTTAATGCATTAGAATATGTTTGTAGCGATAAAGTATAATGCGTCTCTTGCTCACATTTTCGAGAGTATTTCATTCACGATTATACTCATTCGCTATTCGTTAGTGCACTTGTTTGAAGCAAGATATATTTGTATCGATGCCAAACCAAAGTGCTATATAAAAAATCCTTTATTTGCAACCCATCCTTACGAACGACTAAGGGTGTTACTAAAAAGGATGCACAATGTTTAAATTTATATAAATATTTTGCTTTGACTTTTTAATAAATTAACGAAAGAGATGTCACACCTTTTTGTGCTGATTCTGAGGATCTTTGAACATACTGACTTCACCTACAAACACTGAAAGAAGATCTGCCGTCCCGATTCCAAGATTTGACTAGTCTGAAAGTGTCAACTTGGTTTATCAATCCTTTCAGCGTGGAAGTTTCAAGAAAAAGTCTCTTCAAGAAAACTTTGAGATGATTTGAAACTCTCAAATTGATTTGAAACATAATGTTGAAATTGAAACTTTGTTTCGGGAGTGTGGGTATGAAAGATTTTGGTCGCGGATAAAAGAAGTGTATCCAATCTTGTGGAATGAAATCAAATTAATATTATTAGCATTCCCCACAACATATCTAGTGGAGAAAGGTTTTAGTGCTCTGTGTATATTGAAAAACAGACAAAGAAATAGGCTCGACATAATAGAAAGAGTGGATTTGAGGTTTTTATTAAGCAACATTGAGTCATACATAAAGAAGTTTCAATTTAATTGGGGGGGGGGGGCGATTGTAGTATTCATAACTGGTGAAATCGCTCCCTGTCTAAGGGGGAGATCAAGGGAAGAAGGTTGGAAACCACTGGTCTAGAGGAGTTGCAAGAAATGTTAACAGAATTAAAACAAGTAGGTATCAGAGAAAGTAGGGCTAAAAATGAATATTAAGAAAATTACGGTAATGTTAAATAAAGAAGTAAAAATCACTCTTGATGGTAGGAGTGTAGAATATGTTTACTTGGAACATAAAATAAATCAAGGAAAACAAAACAGTAGGTAAACTAAGCTTTATTATTAAACAGCCAAAAATCCCAATAAATTTAAAACGAAAGATTTTTAATCAAAAGACTGATATTTTTTGTACACACTTATGACAAGTCGAAAGAAAATGCAAAAAAGTATTTTTGAAGTGTGTATATTTTAGGCAATTCCTAGCTGAGCGCTTTCGGCTTTACAAAGCCATCATCAGAGCTATGGTCAATTTTTAAATACCACTACAAAGGAGAGATCTCATTTCCTTAAATTTCAAAATTATGATTTTGTAGGTGTTGAAATTCTTAAAACATATAAAAAAACATATAAAAAGCCGACACTGGACTTCACAAACACGTTAAAAAATTGAAAAAATTTTTGTCATGGTACGGGTTTAAGAATCCGACCATTGATTGATGTGAGGACGTAGACTGAATAGAACTCTTCTATTCAGTTCTATTCAGTCTACGTCCTCACATCAATCAATGGTCGGATTCTTAAACCCGTACCATGACAAAAAATTTTTTCAATTTTTTAACGTGTTTGTGAAGTCCAGTGTCGACTTTTTATATGTTTTTTTATATGTTTTAAGAATTTCAACACCTACAAAATCATAATTTTGAAATTTAAGGAAATGAGATCTCTCCTTTGTAGTGGTATTTAAAAAATTGACCATAGCTCTGATGATGGCTTTGTAAAGCCGAAAGCGCTCAGCTAGGAATTGCCTAAAATATACACACTTCAAAAATACTTTTTTGCATTTTCTTTCGACGAAAGATTTTCGACACGTAAATCCTTCCTGGTATGACTTGTGAAATACTAACATGATGCTTACTAACCGATATCTCATTAGAGTTGGAACAACTCAATGAGCTATTGAGTGAACTATCATTGTAAATATAAGGTTAAGAGATCATAAATATGAGAAACGAAGATTTTAGCTGTCATAAAATCTAAGTAGAAAAAGAGCAAGACATAAATGTGGCAAGAGAGAGCGAAGGGAAGTGAACAAAGATACGACAATTGCTACTAAGAGTACATAAACGAGCCATAGCAAGATCACAAAAAGATGGATCGACGACATTAAAGAAAAGGTAGGGAGAAACTGGCACCAGATAGCTGAAGACAGGCGAACATGAAAAACACAAGGGGAGGCCTATGTCCAGAAGAAGACTTTCCATCTTAGCCATTCAAAAAATTTGTCCCAAACTCCCAGAACCTACAATATCGGGAACTTCATTCATATAGGCAGTACTCTTTTGTTATAACTCGCATGACTTCGTTTGTTCTAATCGAACGTCCTACTATGGCTCCATATACTTTCCTCGACAACTTCTCGATGGAAGAAAGTATAGAAGACATTGTCTATTGTCCTTTTTACTAGTTTTACTAGTTATATAAGTTTCTAAATCTCGAGAAGTATTTTGCGAGGCGTGCATACACCTATTTCACATTGCTATTCGTGGTCATTTTTTGTTCAATGTTGTTTGTTTGATTTATCTAAACACACAGGTATTTAAACTGTCATAACCCTTTCAAAAGTTCCGTTCTTTCGTCTCCAATCGATCCACGTGCTTACGTGCAAGTTTTTTTGTTGGTATTTATATATTTTACTTCTAATTCATTCACAAAGGTCGAATTCTTGTTTTCAGTTGGGAATTTGTTTTATTGTAATACATTTAATATACAAATGTATTATTTCTATATAATTATAACTGAATACCTTATTTTCTAGCTTTGCAAGGTCAAGACCCAGAATGGTATAACGCCCTGACGAATAATCTGAACGAAAGCCAACTGAAATCTTTGGGCGAAGTTTGTGTTTTGGCAGAACAAAGAGCCGCAGCTAGGGAAAGTAAAAGAATCGAACAGCAAGGAGGTAAGCCAAGGTTTATTAATATTGACATTAAATTTTGCAACAATGTTAACTATTTCCTACCAATTTCATTTCCTCTTTTAACCTTTCATTTAATTATTAAATGTAGTAATAAGTATTAATTTTTTAGGTTATATCTTCACTCAACAAGCGGTGCCAACATCTTTTAAATTCGGCGACGGCAACTCATGAATAAATCTGTGTTTAAAAGTAACCTCTCTGTGACTGAATGTAAAATTGACTCTACTGACCAGTGAAGTAGTTATTTGTACAGTTTTATTATATATAAAACAATCTTTTTCATTTTTTGATTAAGTGCCTTTTTATTAGAAATTAAGTATGTACACCCGATTTCAAATTCATTATAAAGAAACTGGTACTATCTACGCCCCTGGGCAGCAGCGGCTTCATATAATTTTGTACATAGTTTTTATTTGTAACCAAAAGCTGGAAAATCACGATGTTGTTCTGTCGTTTGATTCTATTAAGTTTCTCGGTTTATTTTGGATAGATTATTTATCTTTTTGTATGTAAGTATCGTAATTTGATTTATTGATGATTCATTGTTTATAAATTATTGCATTTTAATAAATGTCTTGCTTTCAACAGGGGTTTCCTTCAATTCCCCTCTCCAAACCATTAATATATAGCCCATATGAAATCTAGAAAAATTGGCTATTGAAAGCCGGAACCTAGGATTTGTATAAATTTCTGCGGAAAATTGTTTATAACTACAATTTTGATATTATGCTCCAGCTGAAAAATTTGTGTAAAAATAAGGAAAAATTTTAAAAACCAAAATTCCACGTTATATATTCCTATTTTTTTTAAATTTTAATCCTGTCTCAAAAATTGAATTTGACAGAATTGAATAGAATTAAAATTATTGCTTCCGATAAAATTTCCTTTTAACATATGCCTGTACAATTAGTAAAAATGTCGAAACCATATTCAAGCTGAAGCTATGGATGGTGTAAACAAATGCATGCTGGAAATACGCGTTTGTTCAGGGCCGGGCTGTTATAATTATAAAACTTTTTGCTTGTAGACGTTTGACACATACAGATTATAGTACACCGATTGTTTAAATATAAAAATGATTTATAAGATCGAGAGATATTCACAACAAAATAAAGTATACACAAAAAACACAAGTTTACTAAATTGTCGTATTGTATCTTAACTTTCAGATTCTGAAGTACTGCTGTTATGAAGTACTTCAATCAAATTGTCCAACTCCCACATTTTGGGCTCCACTTCTTCTTTTAAATATTTGACGCAGTTTTTCTATTTTTTCATGGTTATAGCAGTTATAAGCTTAATGGAATAAATTTTTAATGTTGGCAAATGTTATGGTATTGGCTGCAACATTCTTGACTTGCACCCAAACAAGCTCGATTATATTGAGCTCTCATTGGTACGGTGGCAACCTTTAAACTATTCTATTTGTACTTTTTATCAGTTCATCTACTATGTACTTATTATATTCGCATTTATGTTGTTTAACGATTTCTAAAAGTCGTACTTTTAACAGCGTTTCTTCAAAGGGAATGTCTTGTGACCAACTTTGAATATCTGACTTTTTGTGGCCACAATGGGAATTTTTTTCAATTTTCTGGAATGGTAAGAGGCATTGTCCATAATAATTGCGGTATTGTCTTCCAGTGTTCAAAAAAAATCTTTTGGAGCCAACTTTCAAATGACTTCCCATCCATCTCATGGTACTCTCCACTTTTGTTTGATTTAAAGCCCACAGTGCATCCGGAACAAAACCTTTCTCACTTGCGATCTGACACATTATTAATTAATTATAAATTATATTATATATACTAATTAATAAATTGAAGGTTTATTTTAATTGGGGGATTTCTTAAACCGGTCGACTACCCATCCAAATATACATGTCTTGCAGAATCGCAGAATCATCCACCCAACTTTTGATTTTGTATGACCAGCATTTATCCATGTCTGATCTAATATATTGTTCTATTTTCAGCTATTGTCTTATATTTTGCAAATAATCTCTTTGTCATAGAACAGTTTCATTTTTGTCCAGTAGCAAACTGTTCATCCACGTTTTTGAAATTTAAAATTTAATCTTCTTAAAAGTTTGTAAAACGTGGTTCTCTTAAAATTTGGTCATTATTATTATTTACATCGCTTAGGACTTTGTCAATTGTCGGAATTTTAATACGGAAAAAATATTGATGAACCTTGTCTTCTTATAGCTGTCTTATCAAAGTCATCTACAGCATATATTGATTTTAAACGATTTTGGTTTGTTTTCGGTGCAGATAATGTGTGGATAGATTCATTAATGACATTGGAAACACTTTTCGAACAAACTCCAACTTTATTTGATGTTAACGCTAAAGTATAATTTTTTTGTAATTAACATTTATACGTATTATTGAAAATTGCCCGTTGTCATCCGCAGACTCCGTATCAGACATTTTTAATAAATGTAATAATTATACTTTTTCCAACTAAAACAATAAAATAAGCAATTTCTAAATTTACTCTTAGGACCGGTTCTACAATCCAGGTATAAATCGGAGAATAGTTATTCTGAGTATAACTTATACTTGAGTTTATTCCAAGTATAACCTTTCGAGCGTTCTACATTGTGAAATCGACCGCGGAATAGTTATTCTGGGTATAACCACAGAACACTAAGGTAAAACGAAATAGTAGATCTGATATCTTCAAAATTAGTTCAAATTGTTATTGACAGCGACATTTGGCATTTGTCATAACTGTAAAATTTGTTTACAATTGAAAGGAATTGAATAATTGATTGGCTTTATGTGGTATTTTATCTACGTTTATATTATTATACTTTACAAAATTAATATAAAATGGATAAAAAAAAATGTAAAAATTTTACATATACAGAAATTGAAATGCTTGTGAGTTTACTTGAAGAATATAAAGAAATAATAGGTATGTAAAAAAATATGTATCTATGGGTTAAGTATTTATTTTAATTTTGCTTTTAGAATGTAAGAAAACTGACACAACAACAAGTGCCATGAAAGATAAGGAATGGTTAAAATTATCCATAAAATTTAATTCCAATTGTGGTACAGGAAGGACAGCTAAAATGCTTCGAAGCAAGTGCGAGTCTTTGAAGAAAACCACAAAGAGACAATATGCCAGTTTAAAGTTCACATTTTAAAACAAGAGTTGAGAAATAAAGTGTAAAATATTTACTTAGTACTTAGTTAATGAAAATGAAAAGATTAGAAAAAATTAGAAAATGTACGGCACATAATGAGAGATAGAGCCATCAGAGAAGACGAATGGATGGACAGAAAACGATGGCGGTCGAAATGCGAGAAACGGCAGAGGCTGTAGGAACCTCGCTTATATATATATATATATATATAATATATATATATATATATATATATATATATATATATATATATACTTAGTTAATACAGGACATACTCCAACCTTGTATGAACAACCCTATGGGGAATAACAAATGACCATTAAAAAGTTTCGCTCTCATTGTTTAATAACATATACTGCGAGTTGTCAATTTTGACTGACTTCTATTCATCATAACTTTTGAATTGTAAATTTGATGTGTCTCATATTTTGGTCAAACATGTCACTAAACATCACATTTAAACTAGAAATAAAGTCAGGTCCGGTTTAAAAAAAAAATAGTTCCTTCTGTTCATGAAAGAATCTCAACCTATGGTTTTTAAAAACTTTACAAAAATTTTACAAATTAGACAAACTGGAATATCAAGTTTTATGAAATAACAACTCCCCTTGCACTTTTTACTGGTTACTTGTTATTTCCTATAGGGGTTTCCGTACGAGGTAGGAGTATGTATAGTTCCTCATGACTCACATTATATTATATTAGGTTTGTTCCAGCAAACATTTTAGAGAAGACAAGGTTACTTCAATAAATACACAAACTGCTGTACTAAACTAGATAGTAGATAAGTTTCATGGAAGCGGTTCTAGCATTGAATCAATAAAATAGTGATATTATATTGTAACATTTTATTGTATCTCAAATATATTGCAACTGTTTCTGTACTCAAGTTATTTCCTAACCCATGGTTTCTCAATTTTTATTTCAGTGCTGTAGTGAAAATCAAAAACCTTTTATGAACTCCTTGGTTTTACCCTCTTTATATGACTTTATTTACACTCTTACTTTCAACACCCCGATCTTGACAGGCTTTTTGTAATACTATTTTAACAACCATGTACATCATTGTATATTTTACTACTTATTTATAAGCCAAAGTAGTAAAATTTTTGGAATATTGTATATAAAATCATTTCCCTTAGTAAGATTTCCTTCTTAAATTTTTTATTATCATCAACTGAGATTAGTGTTGTAATATAATAACCAAAATGATGTTAATATATCTATATAGGTACTTCACGTTTTAAACAAGTATAAATATTGGATTACAAAATATATAATTTTAGTTAAAGAAATGTTTATATAATACAGATTCTAGAATTACAGTCTCTGTTATCAAAACATTAAAAAATATATTGCCTTGGTAAGATTATACCTATACTATATTAGTCAAATGTGTAGAGGTTATTACATTATATACATATCCTAAAATCTTAGAATTGAAATAATAAATGCTTTCTTTTTCCTTTGGATTTACAATCTAAAATGTTTCTGTAATATCAAAAATTTTATTTTATATATAAAAACAAACAAAACCACAGTTCATTGAAAGGAATAAAGTGAGGTTAAAATATTACAGATTTGACAACTCCTGACCGACCAATAGAAATGCAGTATAAATTTATACTCGGTATATCTGCTAAACTTTGGAGGGATAAAGTTATTCTACAGATATACTCAGATTATCTTATTCCTAGTTTATTCTTTGTTTGTAGAACACCATTAATGAAGTTATTCCAAGTATAACTATATTCTCAGTATATACTAGCATTGTAGAACCGGCCCTTATAAATGCTTTATTATACTTTTGTATTGACTATAAATAAATAAGTTCTTAAAAAATGGTTGCACTATATTAACACACGACCTATCGAGCAACAAATCAACAAAACAAAAGTTTTGCACAACTAACTACGTCGACCTTAAATTTGACGAAACGAAAAAGCAAAGTGTGTACATGTTAGCACAAGCGACATGACTAAGATGGTTCGATAACTTGTGACCGATAGCAAGGTGTTCGTCACGTGCAGACTCAAAACTCGATGACTTCTGTTTATTCTGTCGGTAGCTTGGAGTGGAATTTATTGTAGTACATAAAAGCGAAAATTCACAAAAAAATTTGACGTAGATAAAATAATTGGAAATTTGCTTATGGGAAATCAGAAAACTCTTAAGTTCCTGAAAATTAGAAGTTATTTTCAAGAAAATGGTAAAGGAAAAAGCGATACATTGTTTTATGTTTGCATAACAATTTTGAAATCCAGCTGTGTCCGGAAAATTTGAAATAATCAAAATTTTGCTGTGTTTGCTACTCCTTGTTAAATAAATCGTTGATTGTTTTAAGTATATAATAACAAACAGGCTTTCTAACCAATTTTGAAAAATTTAAATCAATTGTCCAGGTGAGGACAATTCACTTCATTCAATGCA